CCTCCCGCCCCGCCCCGCCCCAGCGGGAAGCCCTAACTCAGGCTCGCGCCAGTCCAGTCCCCGACGGAGGCCTCGGGGTCCAGAGCCACAGGAATTTCTAAGAAAAAAAAAAGTTTATTTAATTTTTTTTACATAAATAAATAAATAAATATCTCTGGTATTACAGAGACCGTACAATTACACAACTAGGCCTGGGAGGGCCGGGGTCTGGGGCCTGGGGTAAGAGAGGGCTCTCCAGAGGAGGAGAGTCAGGACCTCTGGGGGAAGGCAGAGCGCCTCCAAAACAAAATTAAATCGGTTTCCCCCAACCGACTATCACAGGCGCCATTTCTCTTCTAGAAGAGGAGCTGGGGGAACAGCAAGGCCTGGTTGAGGGACAAGTGGGCAGGCTGGACTTGGAAGAGGCTCCTTGAGGAGGGGAAGGGAAAGGTAGAGGAAAAACAAAAACACAGGAGTTCATAAATGTGGGGGGGATGGATAAAGGACCACAGGAAAGAGATGGGGAGGGAGAGAGAGAAAGAGGAAGGAAGGAAGGAAGGAAGGAAGGAAGGAAGGAAGGAAGGAAGGAAGGAGGGAAGGAGGAAGGGAGAGAGGAAAGAGGAAGGGAGGAGGGAGGAAGGAGGGAAGGAAGGGAGGAAGGAAGGGAGAAAGGAAGGAGGAACGAAAGGAGGAAGAAAGGAAGAAAGGAAGAAGGAAGGGAAAGAGGAGGGAAGGAGGAAGGAAAGGAGGAAGGAGGGAAGGAGGAAGGGAGGGAGGAAAGAGGAAGGGAGGAGGGAGGAAGGAGGGAAGGAGGAAGGAAGGAGGAAGGAAAAAAGGAAGGGAAGAAGGAGGGGGAAGAAAGGAAGGAGGAAGGAAGGAGGGAAATAGGAAGGAAGGAGGAAGGGAGGAAGGAAGGAAGGAAGGAGGGAAGGAAGGAAGGAGGAAGGAAGGAGGGAAGGAGGAGGAAAGAAGGAAGGGAGGAAGGAAAGGGGAAGAAAGAAAGGAGGAAGGGAGGAGGAAGGAAGGAGGGAGGGAAGGAGGAAGGAAGGAAGGAAGGAAGGAAGGAAGGAAGGGAACTGGCATCCTAGGGGTGAGAGGCTGAACTTTACCCAGGGTGGGGAGAGGAAGCGAGGACCCCTGACCCAGGGGAGAGAGGGCGGGGAGGAGGCTCTGGCGGCCAGCAAGGCGCTGGGCCGGCCAGCGTGCCCCCGGGGCCGCTATGCTGAGTGGCCGGGAAGGACTCGAGTTCTTGCCGTGTGTTCACAGCTTGGAGTCCGCCTGAATAGCCACGGGCCCGGGGTGGGGAAAACCAGCGTCAGACCTCTGCCAAGCTCTTGGCACTGCCCAGGCCAGGGGGGCCTCGGCAAAGCCGTGCCAAATCCGTGCGTGGTCGCCATTTGGCAGCGGGTGCCTGGGACCCGGCGCTGAGTCCTGGGACCAGTCTTTGTGGCTCAGGAAGGGCCTGGGGTGGGCGACCTGGGCAGTCATAAGCCTAGGGAGTGACCGTGAGATCCCGGTCGTCTTTCCCCGAGGAAGACGGAGACATGGGCAATTCGTCGTCATCCTCGGAGCACTTGGCTGAGGACAGCGACGCGCACTTGCAGCCTTGCGGCGCGCCCCCGCCGGCACCCACGCTCGCGCCCCCGCCGCGGTGGCTGCTGCCTTTGCCCTCCTTCTTGTGTTTCACCCGGCGATTCTGAAACCAGATCTTCACCTGCTTCTCAGACAGATTCAGGTAGGTCGCGATCTCGATGCGGCGCAGGCGGGACAGGTACATGTTAGAGGCGAACTCGCGCTCGAGCTCCAGCAGCTGCGTGCTGGTAAAGGCGGTGCGCATCCTCTTGCTGCTGGGCAGCTGGTTCGAGCTGCTCTCTGGGGGCGTGGGGGGGAGAGAGGCAAGCGGTCAGACCCTGCGTTGTGACCCCGATCCTCCGGCAGGCGGCCTTAGGATCCCAGGACTTTGGTCTTTTACCCACCTCTTCGCCCCAAACACGAGGCCCAGCAGCGTGACCGCGGGCCCCTCCTTCTCAAGCCGTGGGACCCTGATCCTCCCGGAGGCGCGTGGCCCGGACACTCCTTCAAGTGCCCTGAACCCCAGTCCTCGATCCTTCTGGGCGCCCCCTCCAGGACCTGGGCCTTCCGCTTTCACCCTCCGTCTCTGTGTCCTATTCTAGTCCTCCATCCCACCACCACCCCGAGTGTCCCCGCCAGGGCCCCGACAGGACTCTCATCGCCCCATAATGCCCCAAATTCCTTATTCCCGATCTCTGATTCGTCAGCTTTCTTCGGGCCCCCTGTGTGTCCCGCGCGGCGGCCCGGCTTACCCACGGAGATGCAGTGGAACTGCCTGGGGTCGGGCAGCGGGTAGGAGGTCTGGTAGAGCGCGGCGGCGGCGGCGGCGGGGCCGTGAGCCACGCCGGGAGACACGGCCGAGTGCTGGCGGCCTAGGGGCGCGTGGCAGTACTGCGAGCCGAAAGGCGGGAAGGACGCCTTGAGCAGCGGCAGCGCCGGCGGC